CCGGCCAGAGGGCATGTTGGCTGCCACTGGACTCCCACATGGCCGATGGTGGTCTGAGTCCTGGACCCAGGGCTTGAAACTCAGGCCAGGCGCGTGTGCGTGCCCAAGATCCAGGGAGGAGGATGGAGGGGAAGAGATTGCCACTGGGCAACCCCCTCGGGGGCTGATTTCTGCTCTGTCTCTGTGAGTCGTGCGCCCTATAGCAGAAACCTCTGTAAGGGGTGAGTCCTACGGCCCGTGAGCTAAAGCTCGGTAGGACAGGTTTGCTCTCAGCCCACTATTTGAGATGGCAGGAAGCAAACAGCGCGGGAACGAGAAGCGAGACTCGGAGGGACGGCTCTGCACTGCGAGGGGGCCGCTGAGCTGTGACACGAGTGCGCACCCCGGCCACCTGTGGGAGAGGGCTGGGCGCCCCTGCGGCAAGCGCGACCAAGTCCTGAAAGCACGTAGAGGCCGTGGAATAAGGCTGTGTGCCCTGGGGACACCCACCCCACAGCCACACCGCTCCTGCTGGCCACGGCTAGAAGGGTCAGCAAGCGGCCCCCACACAACACACATGCATGTCTCTGACAAGTTCCGGGGTACCACTGAAGACACGTAACATGGAGAAAGCAGCGTGGCCCCAGCTTTGGAAAATGGCAGCTAAGAACTAAGTGTCCAGGCAGTCTCTGGCCTGGGGATCGACAGGGCAGGTGTCCCTGGGTGGGCACAAGTCCTCGCAAAGGGTCTGACTGGCACCAGGGGCCCTGATGCCGCTGCTGGTGTTGGCACAGACAGAGAGCTGCCAGCTTGGGGAGACGAGGAGACAGACAGGGAGATGAGATGGGAGGATGGGGAGACGGGGGATAGAGAGATGGGGAGATGGGAGATAGAGAGATGGGGAGATGGGGAGACGGGAAGATGGAGAGATGGGGAGATGGGGGATAGAGAGATCGGGAGATGGGGAGATGGGAGATGGGGGATAGAGAGATGGGGAGATGGGGAGATGGGAGATAGAGAGATGGGGAGATGGGGGATGGGGGATGGGGAGGTGGAGATGGGGAGATGGGCGATGGGGAAATGGAGAAATACCCGGGGCCAGCAGAAGGCCTCAGAGACCAGGAACTCAGCAGAAAGGTGCTTCCTGTGGGGCCAAGCCAGGGCCCCAAGAGCAAGATGCACGACCGGGAGGCAAGGAGGCTTCAGGGACCTGGCCCTGTGCGGGGAAGTGGGGAGCACAGGTCCCACACGGACAAAGAGAAGGGGAGGACACCGGGCAGGTGCGGCCCTGCAGGGCTCTGCCCTCACTCTGAGGGGGAGAAGACGAGAAGTCCCATGCAGGCACGGCAAGGAGACCGTGCGAGCAGGAAGGGCCGAGGCAGGAAGGCGAAGGAGCGAGAAGGCCTTCCGAAGGCCGTCCCCTAGCCGCAGGCCAGCCAGACCTGCATGCCCACGCCTGCCCGGCCACTCCCAGCCAGTCTCAGAGAACAGGGCTCTCCACGCTTTCGCCCCCACGTAGCCTCCGGTCTCGGCTGCAGACCCTGGCCAGCCAGCCAGGGAGAGCACTCTTTGAGGCAGGTCGAGGTGGGCCGCAGACCCAGTCCCGTAGGGTGACCTTCAGGGAGTCAGTCCAGGGTGTGACACCCAGCAAGAAAACACACAAAAAAAGAACAGGGAGCCAGGTGGTCACACCACCCCTGCACGCCAGTCTGGAGGGCAGAGGTTCCTGGCCACCAGTGCCAGCCACCAGGCTCAGCCCGAGGGGACTGAAATGAGCTGAGCACGCAGACAGCACAGGGCCAGCAGCTGGCGTGGTGGGGTTCTGGACTCCCACGTGGCGGATGCCGTCTGAGCCCCAGGTGCGCTGGCTTGAAACCCACACCGGGCCCTGTGCGTGTGAGCCCGTCGCAGGAGGAACGTGAAGGGACTGCGGCACAGTAGCCCTCTCTGTCTCTCTCCAGCAAGCACACGTACCCGATGACAAAGCCTGAAACCAGGAGCACAGCTGACGAAACAAGGGTCGGCCCAGACAGCCAGGCCGCACACGAACGGCCGAGGGAGCCACGGCCGATCCACGGCCGACAGTTGAGCAGCGTATCGACAACACTGGCGAAGACCCTCAGGCTGCCCCTACGGGCACCGACAGCCCCTGCCAGCCTCCAGAACAGATGCGGAGGCTGGCATCCACCCGCAGAGCAGGCGGCAGGCGGGCCGGGCCTTGGCTTTCTCAAGCTCCAGGTGAGGCTGCCACTCAGTGCAGTCGACTTGGCTGGGCCAGGACGACACCGGGGAAGAGCAAAGGCCAGGACGTCGGAGGTCCACATGTGGGTGTCAACAGAGGTTCCAAGGGTCACCAGTGACGACAGCGACCACGGCTGTGTCAGCGCCCCAAGCCCCGACATGCAAAATTGGAAGAGAGAGGGCCAGCAGGAACTGGCCGCCCAGCAGAAGCACCTGCTGTGTGCGACAAGACGGGTCCGCAGCCATTCTCCAGGGGACGGCCACACGGCGTCCCATGCCCGTTCTCCGGGAAGAGCCACACTGCCTGTGGAAAGTCAGGACCCATTCGGGAGACACGAACGGACAGTGGCAAAACTGCTAAGACAGACTCGGTGCCCAGAACGGGGGACACAGCCATCCAGGGGAGCTGATGGTCAGCAAGGCTACCCAGGGCTGGAAGCCTGATCTGCCAGGGACGTGACCCAAGGCGGAGCCATGTAGCTCTGCGCTCAAACACAGACATGAGAGCCCGGGAGAGCAGCAGGAGGCCAGTACCAGCTGGCCCGGCCTGGCCTGCATGCCCTGCCTGGGAGAAATGCGGACAGGAGGGGTCCAGGCTCCACTGCTGCATGCCCGCAGCCTGGCTGCCCTTCCTGGGCCACACCCTCACTCACAGGGACAGGTCAAGGCCAAGCATGTCAGGGACTAGAGGCCGCACACCGGGAGAGCCTCTGGGACACACGAAACCCAGCTCAGGAGAGGAGCAGAGGGGCTGCAGGGCCCGGCCAGGCGGGGGGTAGCGCAGCTGTGAGCCCACATTCTGCAAGGCAGACCCACATGGGAGGGCTCGGGTTCGTGTCACAGGGCTCCCTGGGCACACGGGACATACCTGTGCCTGTGATCTGGGCTGGCTGAGGAGCTGGTGGGTCAGGGATCGAAACCCTGTTGGGAGTGCTGTCTGTCTGTCTCTCTCACAGTATTAAATAAGCAAAACTTAAAAAAAAAAATGATAGTAGGCAGACCACCATCCAGACCACCATCAGGCTGGGGTGAGGCGGGGCGGGGCGCGGCCTCACCGTGGTCGAAGTCGATGTACTTGGTGAGCTTGTGCCAGGTGCGGTAGTAGAAGTGGCGCACCTGCTCCTTGTTCTTCACCATGCTCGCCGGCTTGCCTTTCTTCTTGTACTTCAGGGCGATGTTGTTCTGAATCGCTTCAAAGTCCTTGCCGTGCTGGAAAATGAAGCCCAGGGTAAAGAGCGGGCCTGAGAACCACGCACTTCCCTGTGGACGAGACCCAGGAAAGGAAGGGCCTGCCTGTGGGCACGCGGGCCGTGCCCGGCTCCCACTGAGTGTGAGGGTTAGCTTGGCTTCCCTTGGGCTACAGGCTTTTGGTTTTGTTTTTCAAAATTTGCCAGACGGTGTATTTGTTTACTAGGGAAAAAGACAGAAATAGAGAGAGAGAAAGTCCCCCAAGGCACCCGGTCATGCTGCAATCCCCTCTCCTCTCTCAGCCCCTCCTTTCAGAATTTGACAGGCACACACATCTGGCATGGTTTTTTTTTTTTTTTTTTTT